TACAACATAAATTTTTCAAAAGTTGACTTAATTTCAGGATCATTCACTATGTTGTATTCACCATGAAGAATGCAGCACAATATGCATATTTGCACAAATATGATATTCCTTGCCTTCTGGGAGTTCATGTTCTAAACAAAAATCCTAGAAAGTATATTGCCCCTTAAGGCTGGCTTTTAACTTTTTATTTTCTCTTTTCATTTGATTATAGTACAGGCATCTGCCACAAAAGTTCAATTTATACCTTAAAAGAGAGGGGCTCACCAAGGGAAGGGAGACAAATAATATATGTGAACCTATTCAAACCTAACAGACATCCAAATCAACCCTTAAGAAGTAGTCTTTGAATGAATTTATTCATTGTGTTTACAGTAGAACATTTTCAACAACTGAAAATTATCACATTAAGAATCATGAAAGCACAAAGATACAGAAGTTATGATTTCTACTCTTTCTTAAAGTCACCTACCAAACTTTCACTTTCATTTATCACTCCTTGAGTAACATGCACAATGATATTTAATGCTCTCAGATTCAACAAGTTACAGGATAATACAGGACAAGATTACACGCATGTGTTGGAGAGTTAGCGTGAAAGATTACAGCATATTTAGAACAGTTCTATCACTGAAATTCTCCTGGAATTCCTCCATCACCTTCATACAACCTTAGAGTTTACTTCAAAAACCCTCTAGATTAGGTAAGGCTAACATTATTTCCAATACCATGTAAATCATTCACAGGAAGATATTAAAACATGTTTAGTATCAGGCAAGGAGAAGGCAGTGGCACCCCACTCCAGTACTCTTGCCTGGAAAATCCCATGGATGGAGGAGACTGGTAGGCTGCAGTCCATGGGGTCGCTAAGAGTCAGACGTGATTGAACAACTTAACTTGCACTTTTCACTTTCATGCATTGGAGAAGGAAGTGGCAACTCACTCCAGTGTTCTTGCCTGGAGAATCCCAAGGACCAGGGAGCCTGGTGGACTGCCGTCTATGGGGTCGCACAGAGTCAAACACAACTGAAGCAACTTAACAGCAGCAGTATCAGGCAAAAATACAATCCATTTTTTAAAAAATATAATGAGGACTACTTGTTTCTATTGACTGAGTTGTCACTAGGACCATAAGGTTGTTTAGAAGATCCTCAGAGCTAGAATATCATTTGCTGTTATCTGAGGGATGGCTGTTTAAGAGAGATCATGAGCTAGAATGCAGAATATGAAGGCATACGTCTCATCTCAATGCTGACAGTATGATCAACTAAGATGGAATACCTAAGAATGAGGGCTTATTTGTGAGGTAGGGGCAACAGCCATCATTTTTAGTACGCTTTTAAGCAGCTGTCATTTCCATCACTTTATTAATTTCTTACTATACTGACATTTGAATCACTTTATTAATTTTTTCCTCTACTGTTATCTTAGTTGTCCAATTTAAAAATAAAGACTATACCAATAACTGACCACTAGCAGGAAACAATTATGATACACTGCTACCCATATACATGAAATTCTATAAATAGTTGGGGAGAGAGGTTGAGTGATCCATTTCTGAGATTTTGGAGGCCCAGTTTCCTCATCCTGTTCCCACAAATTTTATCAGAGATATTTCAAACATTATGCCACAGTTATACAAAATAAGTGAAACATCACCAAGCAGAAATCCTAGGGTAGGTATTCTGAACATGTTGGTAAAGAAAGTCACTTCATTTGAGAGGTCTCTGCCCCTTCAACCTCACCCTCCTTACCAATATACATTCATCACCGAAAAGGGAAATATTTACAAAAGTTAGTTTAGTTATGTTTAAATATTATGTTTAGCTGTCTGGAGACCATGTTCTCAAAATTTATACAAGAAATCAAGGATTAAACTTCATAACAATTAGAAAACCACACTGTGTAAAATCAAAGAGTTAGTTAAAAGATATTAAAATAGTTTTACCACTGGTGCTAAAACGAAATGACTCCATCTCTTCCCAACACCTGGAACCAAAACCTTTCGAACTTTCATGTAAACAAACCAGGGCACACCAAATGCTCTGTCTGCAGCAAGGTACCACCTCTGCACAGGCATTTGGGTGAAAAATGTGGAAAATGCCTGAGGGCTCTTTGAAGCAGCTTGGGAGAAGTGAGAGCAGGAAAGAGGCTCTTCTCTAGGGTAAGTTTGTTTAGTAGAAAGTAAGCAAGTTGTCAGGGTAAAAGTTGACAATGTTGATTCCAACAGTTTGAACTGTGAATAAACATCCAAAGGGATTATGTTACTGAGAATTAGAAAAGATTCCATTGAACTCAATAGAGCATTTGTGTTTTCAAAGATAATATGCCTTCAAGCCATACTCTGGATGCACAGTTTAGGATTAGAATTACCCTAAGCTCTTTCTATGCCACATTAAAGAACATAGGATTTGACCTCTCTAATGTATGCTTAAAAATGTTCGAATAACTGAATTTGAAAATACTATACACATGTACATTTGTACATCTGAGGTAGACTAAAGAAATTTGGAGAAAAATATGTTCTTTCCAAACATCTAAACTTAAACATAGTTTTACTAACCAATTTAGGATTTATTAGCCATAAATCACTTTAAAGTTTTCCCTCTTTAATGACCTATCCAAGAACAAAAAATAGGGCCTATACTTATGAAATCCATAATCCTCTTCTCTGCTCTCTAAAGTCACATTTAAATCTGGCTTTCATCTTATGTTGTTGGGTTTTTCACCAGTTACAAGATGGAAAGTTAGTAGAGACTTGTGCTTTTTCAAAAGCAAAACAACTTGGTTGCCATTCAGTAATTCCTGGTGAAATGCCGCAAGTTTGTAAAAAATTTTTAAATTTTCCTAACTTGGAGCTTACAAAAGTAAGTGTGAGATGTTCATTGCCCATCAGACATTGCATCTTTTTATTTTTAATATTCTAAACAAGAAAAAAACATACACTTTGATTTATTAAAGTTTATCTGAATCAATATGCAGATCTGCCTTGCGTACCCTTAGGAAAATGGAGGTAACTCAGACTGCTGTTCTCAGTTCATCAGAAGTCCTTCATGATTCTCACACTAGAGTGTGCTATTAGAATTTTTTCCAAAGTTTGACAAAGGTATGCAATTCACATGCTCTTTACTAGCAAAGTTTGCAGCAACCCCGCAAAAAGTTGTTTCTCCTTTAAACTTTCACACATATTCACTTCCCTCCTAGAACCAAGGATGTAAGTGAATATGGCTCAGTCTCATAGCCTCTTTGCTCTTAAAAAGAAAATCAAATTCCCTAGATAGTTTCAAACTCTTCCCAAAATAGAACATTCTCAGCTCTGCCTGTGGATCATTATCTCTTTTACATTTCATCTTTATATTCACTGGGTTCACAGAAAGGACATACACAGAAAGAGGAAAATAGCTGCTTCTTAGACACCAAATTTAGTAATTCTCTCAAATCTATTGGCACACATCTAAAAAGTCATATTTTTACAAGGCTTCGTTAGGTTTTCATTGGTCCTTCTTTTGAGAACACACATGCCAAACCACCCATAATCTCAAGTCAAAATACATCTGCAAAATATAATAAGTATTTTATATGAATACTCATCATGATTTTTAAAAGGATATGTGGAAAGAGACAGACACATCATCTGAATCCCACTTTAGTGTCTCCCAAGCATCAAGCTGCTAACCAGTGGAGACCATCAATCTACAGTGCTCTAAGATTCCAGCCGACCCCAATACCCTTACCTGTTAATATAAGATTACTGTAAGTATTAGAGAATTGCTCCTTTAGAAGAACCAGATGCATCTGAGCTGCCTTCTCCCGTTGGAGCTCCAGCATAACATCAGGGTGCTGGGCAATCTTGCAGCCTTTCTGTTTATCCAAGGCAACATCACTTCGAACAATGTCTAAAAAAAAAAAAAAGAAGGAAGGCAGGCAGCAAAAACAAACAAGCAAACAAAAAAACAGAAACTACACAAAGTCCTATTTCACTCAATATGACAGAATTTGTAAACTACTACATTTTCACCAAAATGAAAAGATTCAGAAATAGTAAACCTGAAGCGTCTCCCACTTCACAATGCATTCTAAAAATTTCTCTAGTCATCTCCAAAATCTTTGGAGATATCTATTTCTTAGTTTTCTCTGACCTTACTTAAGATTCTCACTCCTTGGTTCCCCTTCTCAGCTCACCTCCAGGAATTATTTACCTCCTGGGGCTTTTTTTTTTTAATGAAGAATGACTTCATTATTTGAAACTAGGGCCTTTTTCTGTACATCTTTTACCATGGGGAAAAGTAATAAAATCCTGTCTGAATACCAGTGACTATGAACGTCATTGTCATGCAGCAATCTGAAAGGCAACTCTAGAAACCTTCAAGTTTTACATAACAAACTGAAGGATTTTAGGGAGAAAAACGCTAAAAATTTAAAAAAAAAAAAAAATTCTAAACAAGAAAAAAACATACACTTTGATTTATTAAAGTTTATCTGAATCAATATGCAGATCTGCCTTGCGTACCCTTAGGAAAATGGAGGTAACTCAGACTGCTGTTCTCAGTTCATCAGAAGTCCTTCATGATTCTCACACTAGAGTGTGCTATTAGAATTTTTTCCAAAGTTTGACAAAGGTATGCAATTCACATGCTCTTTACTAGCAAAGTTTGCAGCAACCCCGCAAAAAGTTGTTGCTCCTTTAAACTTGCACACATATTCACTTCCCTCCTAGAACCAAGGATGTAAGTGAATATGGCTCAGTCTCATAGCCTCTTTGCTCTTAAAAAGAAAATCAAATTCCCCAGATAGTTTCAAACTCTTCCCAAAATAGAACATTCTCAGCTCTGCCTGTGGATCATTATCTCTTTTACATTTCATCTTTATATTCACTGGGTTCACAGAAAGGACATACACAGAAAGAGGAAAATAGCTGCTTCTTAGACACCAAATTTAGTAATTCTCTCAAATCTATTGGCACACATCTAAAAAGTCATATTTTTACAAGGCTTCGTTAGGTTTTCATTGGTCCTTCTTTTGAGAACACACATGCCAAACCACCCATAATCTCAAGTCAAAATACATCTGCAAAATATAATAAGTATTTTATATGAATACTCATCATGATTTTTAAAAGGATATGTGGAAAGAGACAGACACATCATCTGAATCCCACTTTAGTGTCTCCCAAGCATCAAGCTGCTAACCAGTGGAGACCATCAATCTACAGTGCTCTAAGATTCCAGCCGACCCCAATACCCTTACCTGTTAATATAAGATTACTGTAAGTATTAGAGAATTGCTCCTTTAGAAGAACCAGATGCATCTGAGCTGCCTTCTCCCGTTGGAGCTCCAGCATAACATCAGGGTGCTGGGCAATCTTGCAGCCTTTCTGTTTATCCAAGGCAACATCACTTCGAACAATGTCTAAAAAAAAAAAAAAGAAGGAAGGCAGGCAGCAAAAACAAACAAGCAAACAAAAAAACAGAAACTACACAAAGTCCTATTTCACTCAATATGACAGAATTTGTAAACTACTACATTTTCACCAAAATGAAAAGATTCAGAAATAGTAAACCTGAAGCGTCTCCCACTTCACAATGCATTCTAAAAATTTCTCTAGTCATCTCCAAAATCTTTGGAGATATCTATTTCTTAGTTTTCTCTGACCTTACTTAAGATTCTCACTCCTTGGTTCCCCTTCTCAGCTCACCTCCAGGAATTATTTACCTCCTGGGGCTTTTTTTTTTTAATGAAGAATGACTTCATTATTTGAAACTAGGGCCTTTTTCTGTACATCTTTTACCATGGGGAAAAGTAATAAAATCCTGTCTGAATACCAGTGACTATGAACGTCATTGTCATGCAGCAATCTGAAAGGCAACTCTAGAAACCTTCAAGTTTTACATAACAAACTGAAGGATTTTAGGGAGAAAAACGCTAAAAATTTAAAAAAAAAAAAAAACAAAACTGTTGACACCTATGGCTTTGGAAAAGAAAAACTAATGCTCATGTCAATAGTACCAATAGGAAAGATTTGGCTCTTTAAGCGGTATCATTGACACCTAAGAGAAAACAAGGCAGGAGACATGAATGGTGGGCCATCATTCTGTGCAAAAGATTTTCAAACATATCAAAAGAGCCCTAAAAGAGAAGCTCAGATATAAAAACAAACCCACGACAATTGAGCATTAGGATGTATGGTTCACAAAGATTACCCAAATGTGAGAATAGCACTCACTCACTTTAGATAAAAACACAGAAGCTGGTTGGAAATAATGCAATATTTATACATAAACATATTTATATTAATTTCTACGATGTAGGCAATAAGATGAACTCATTTAACAATCAAGTAAGTAACTAATCTCGAAGGTATTCTGAGCCTTGAATACAAAATTAGAATAAAATCAAGAATACACTCTAGTTTACAAGATCATTAAACGAAGGTAAGAGGAATAATAAATACCATTTATTTAAATTACACTATAAAATTTTTAAAATACAGTGCATCATTAAATCCTTTGAACCACTGATGAAAGCAAACATTGTTGACTAGCCGACCTATATCCTAAACACAGTACATTCACCTTTGCCTTCCTCTACCATAGAGACTGAAGAGCCAAAATATACAATTCCCCAGCTTTCCTTGAAAGTCATGAGTAGCCATGTAACATGAATAGCCATGCCAATGCACTGCAGGCATATAACCCAAGGGGGTTCCCTGGCCAAATTAAAAGAGAGAACCTCACTAAGAAAAAACAGTTTTTTCCTTGAGCATTTTAGTCCTTTCTATTCTTTATGCCTGAAAATAACAAAAGGCCCAAAGTTATAATAGCCATCTTGTGGCAATGACTCAAAAAGCACAAGGGCAAAAGTCTTACATGCTAAAGATGGTGAATAAGAAGATGAGATGAGCTTATGCCCCTAAGATCATTACTGAGCTATCATATTTGTGCTCAAAAGCCTATCTTTTCTTTCTTGTCATGTAACATAAAGGCACTATTTGTATAAACCATTAGTGTGTGCTTAGTCGCTCAGTTGTGTGACCCTTTGTGACCCCATGGAACGTAGCCCTCCAGGTTCCTTTGTCCATGGGGATTCTCCAGGCAAGAATACTGGAGTGGGTTGTCATGCCCTTCTCCAGGGGATCTTCCCAAGCCAGGTTCCCTGCACTGCATGCAGATTCTTTACCATCTGAGCCACCAGGGAAGCCCAAACCATTAACAGTAAGCTATTTTTTGAAATCCTAATCTATTTTGTTGCGGTGCACAGGCTTCTTATTGCTTTTCATACAGTGACTTCTCTTGTTGTGACCACCTTACTTGCCTCCTGAGAAACCTGTATACAGGTCAAGAAACAACAGTTGAAACCATATATGGAACAATGGAATGATTCAAAACTGGCAAAAGTATGTCAAGGCTGTATATTGTCACCCTGCTTATTTAACTTACATGCAGAGTATATCATGCAAAATGCCAGGCTGGATGAAGCACAAGCTGGAATCAAGATTGACGGGGAAAATATCAATAACCTCAGATGTGTATATGACACCACCCTTATGGCAGAAAGTGAAGAGGAACTAAAGAGCCTCTTGATGAAGGTGAAAGAGGAGAGTAAAAGGCTGGCTTAAAACTCAACATTCAAAAAACTAAGATTATGGCATCCAGTCCCACCACTTCATCGCAAATAGATGGAGAAAAAATGGCAGATTTTATTTCTTGGGCTCTAAAATCACTGCAGATGGTACCTGCAGCCATAAAGTTAAAAGATGTTTTCTCCTTTGAAGAAATGATATGACAAACTTAGATAGAATATTAAAAAGCAGAGACATCACTTTGCTGACCAAGATCTGTATAGTCAAAGCTATGGTTTTTCCAGTAGTCATGTAATGGATGTGAGAGTTGTACTGTAAAGAAAGCTGAGCACCGAAGAACTGATATTTCGAACTGTGGTGCTGTAAAAGACTCTTGAGCGTCCCTTGGACAACAAGGAGATCATACCAGTCAATCCTAAAGGAAGTCAGTCATGAATATTCATTGGAATAATCATTCACTGATGTTGAAGCTGACATTCCAATATTGTGGCCACTTGATGTGAAGAGCTGACTCACTCCTAAAGACTCAGCTGGGAAAGACTGAAGATAAAAGGAGAAGCGGGCAGCAAGGGATGAGATGGTTGGATGGCATCACCAACTCAATGGACATGAGTTTGAGCAAACTCTGGGAGGTAGTGAAGGACAGGGAGGCCTGGCGTGCTGCAGTCCATGGGGGTCACAAACAGTCAGAGACAGCTTAGCAACTGAACAACAACAATCTGTTCTGTAATCCTAAATGATAATGAGTAACATTATTATCCCTAATTTATGTATGGAAAAACCGAGGTCCACAAAGCTTAAGTGACTTACTCAAGTTCACAAACCATGGTGAGTCCCAAATCCCAAAATTTTCAAAGCCAAATTCACTGATTGTTCCAGAAGTTACTCCTATATAGAAACTAATGAACTTAATAGTATAGTAATCAATAAAACTGAGGAACCAAAAAGAAAACCTTCTTATACTACACAGTAGCATACTACAGCTGATCTATCCAGAAAACAAACATGGATGATACTTTCCAAAAAAACATTACAAAACTTGTACCAAAATACACTATAATGAAGAAAGAGGGGTTTCAATTATCCTGACATCTTCTGATAGGAATCTAATTCAAAGAACAGAATATCTACTAAACTATTTCCTATCTAATAAACGTTTTGTTCAGAAGGCAGAAGAAGCAATAACTGATATCAACGTCATTTAATCCAGAAACTTGAAATAAAATGAACAAATTACCTTAACATTAAAAATAGTAGGAAAATGATGGGCACAGCCTAACATACATCCTAAACTTTTAGAAAGTACATTTCAGCAATGTTTGTGGAAAACATAGATTTGCAATATAGACTTTTTTTTTGAGGTACAGTTGATTCATAATATTATATTAATCTCAGGTATACAAGTTCATGATTCAGTATTTTTATATTAATAGTTATTTAAAGTTATTATAAAACATTGGCTATATTCCCTGTGGTGTGCAATATATCCTTGTGGGTTATTTATTTTATACATGGTAATTTGTACTTCTTAATCCCTTGCCCCTATTTTGCCCCTCCTTTCTTCCCTCTACCTACTGGTAACCACTAATTTGTTCTCTATATCTGTCTTTTCTGTTTTGCTATATTCATTCTTTTGTTTCATTTTTTAGATTATCCCATATGTAAGTGATAACATACAGTATTTATCTTTCTCAGATTTATTTCACCAAGCATAATACCCTCCAAGTCCATCCACATTATTGCAAATGGCAAGATTTCATCTTATGGCTGAATAATATTCCACTGACCCATCAACAGATGAAAGGATAAAGATAAGATAGACAGATAGATCACAACAGTGACCAACTCCCAATCAGTCATATGATTTACAAATATTCTTCCCCATTCAGTAGACTGTCTTCATTTTGGCAATGGTTTCCTTGGCCATGCAAAAGCTTTGAAGTCCATTTGTTTATTTTTGCTTTCATTTGTCTTTATCTTAAGAGACAGATCCAAAAAAAATTTCCATCATTTATGTCATATAGTGTTATGCCTATGTTTTCTTACATGAGCTTTATGGTTTCTGTTCTTACATTTAGGTCTTTAAATCACTTTGAATTTACTCTTCTGTGAGAAAGTAGTCCAGTTCAATTTATTTACATGCAGCTATCCAATTTTCCCAGCACCACTTACTGAAGAGATTGTTTTTCCCCATTGCACATTCTTATCTCTTCTGTCATAGATTAATTGACCATAAACGTGTGGGTTTATTTCTGGACTCTCCCTTCTGTTTTATTGATCTATGTCTGTTTTTGTGCCAGTACCATTCGGTTTTGATCACTGTAGCTTTGTAATACAATCTGAAGTCACGGAGCATAACACCTCAGGATCTGTTCCTCTTTCTCAAGGTTGTTTTGGCTATTCAAGGTCCTTTGTGTTTGCATACAAATTTTAAAATTAAATGTTCTAGTTCTGAGGAAAAAAATGACACTGGTATTTTGATAGGGATTGTATTGAATCTATAGACTGCCTGGGGTAGCATGATCATTTTAACAATATTGATTCTTCCAATCCATGAACAAGGAGTATCTTTTCATCTGTTTGTGTTATATTCAATTTCTTACACCAGTATCTTCAAAGTTTTCTTAGTACAGGTCTTAGGTAGGTTTCTTCCTAGATATTTTATTCTTTTTGATGTGAGTGTAAATGGGATTCTTTAGTTTCTCTTTCAGATAGTTTGTTGCTGTATAGAGATGCAACAAATAGATGTATGCTAATTTTATATCCTGCAGCATTACCAAATTCATTGATGAGCTCTATTAGTCTTCTGGTGGCATTTTTAGGATTTTCT